CGCACTCCTCCAYTGTCGCGAGTGGATAGTTTGGAGCKTATCAGAGGCCCTGACGCCTCTCATGACGTCAGCGAACCTCTCAYGCWGGAGTTTGAGAAAASTGGAGAGAGGGGTCAGCCTAGAGTATGCAATCATGTTATGCTTGCAATYGGCGGCACGAGCAAGGGACCTRGYGAAGCTGGCCGCTTCGTCSTTTAATGCATGAAAGGCGACGAGGACTTSCTCCTCGRGGGCAATATGCTGCAAATACACRTAAGTATTGACACTGGCTTCCCAATTGTCAAAACTTYCGTCCTTCTTCCCGCTATAGGCATCAGGAAATWTGAGCTTTACGGGCTYTTTRCGGGGACGTGCTGCGRCCTCTGCTRTGGCCGCTACTTTGACAYCCTCAATGGCRCSRTCACAAAACTTCTCTRYGCCTTMCTTTAGCTTCCTGACTTCGGTCCCAACGTGGGTCACCATGTCGCGCGCAAACTCCCTAAAAYCGGACCGGATGGCGTGCAGGGTCMCATCGTGACCCTTGTTGGCCTGATGCTCCTCAAGCCAGGCCTCATTCYRGATCTCYAGGTACCCTRTAATCTTATCTAATTTCGTGGGGACCTCTGTTTGTGCYYGCATCATCRGTCTGCATGCCCGAACTCGTTCCACTTCTCTAGCCACTCGATTGGCTTCCTCCCTCCTTCTCTTCTTCTCCTTCATCATTCGTAACTTCCACTCCAACTTTTTCTCATCCTCTGTGGTCTGACGTTCTAGGGGGTGTTCTATCATTTCTAATGCCCTGGCAAATGCCTCTCTCTCCTCCCGCGGTACATACAACTGTGCCTCCTCATCCTTCCCGAACGATAAATTAACTACCCACTCGCTGATCTTCTTCTCCATCCATTTGTCCTCTTCCTTCGTGCCACTGTTTTATCCCCTGTCTCCTCCACGCCTTCTTTCAAGGGGCTCTTCTTCTTCCTCCTCCTCCTTCTCCGCTGCTGCTTCTTCTTCGGCGGGCTTTGTCTTCTCTTCTTCCTTCCGCTCCAACATCATCATGTTCTCCTTCTGGAATCTCAACATCTCTTCTTCTAACTTGTTCTTCGTCGCCTGCTCCTTTGCTACAGCCTTTAGCTTCGCCTGCTTGAGAAGCTCTTTCTTCTCTTTTCTCTCTCTCAGAATGGCGGCGATCCGGGCCTGCTCGGCCTCGGATCGGGGAAAAGTACTCTTCCCGCTACGGGTGGAAACCATGGTGATAGGTGCACAACCAGACAACGGTTCCACGCCTCACCACTTAGACGCTACTCCCCCTGACTGACAAACTTACTGACTCAATCTAAAGACTTACAGAATCCGGACAGGATCCTGTCAACTAGGGTCTCTAGCCTAGACCTACTCTAAGGTTATCACTACAGGACCTCTTGCTGATCAGGAGGCATTTAAGGAGATCCCCCGTAACTCCTCAGGAATTATTTAACGTCGCAAATAGGACGACGCGATCAGCAGGTCCTCTCAAGACTTAGACGGCCTGTTGTGCAGCCCACAACTCGGATTTTGGGCCTACCGTGCCACACCGAGCAGCCCGCCAGTCAGTACCGGTCTTTGGGAGGGTTCGTGTCCTCCGGGACAGTCGAGTCGTCAGACACAGTCTTTAGCCCTACTCAGCCCGTGTGGGTTTGGTCAACAAGGCCCTATCCTTCATCCACAGAGTTCCTATCACCTGGACAGAAGAGACTCAATGCAGAAAGAAGAGACAGACAGACTTGACTCAGCAAGTACCACAGGGTGTGTGCACATCCATAGGGCGAGGGGATAGGCTGAAGGCTTGGTGAGATTATACCGGGTTGAGCTTGGTCAAACTCGTGGGCAACAGTCTTGGTCAACGCCTTGGTCAACGCCTTGGTCAACGCCTTGGTCAACGCCTTGGTCAACGCTTGGTCAATGCTGCAGTCAACCCCCCGGTCAACTCCCGGTCAACGCATGTCAACACCCGGTCAACGTTCGGTCAGCTATGGCTTCCAGCTTCTCCTTCCTCCCCACCCTTCTCCTTCCTTCTCCCTACCTCGCCTCCTTTCTCTTCACCCCGGCTGTCTTCTCTTTTCTTTTTTTTTGTTTTGATCGTCTCTCCCTTCACCTCCTCGGCTATGGCTTCCTTCACTCTGCTCGGTCTCCCCCTCTGTCCTCTCTTTCACCCTCTTCGTTACTCTGTGGTCGAGCTCCACGGCTATGGCCGCCTCCTTCTTCCTCGTGGGACTGCACATCACACTTCGCAGGTACGTGACAACCAAACTTGTATCGCTCATCTCTCTCTCTCCCTCTCTCGCCGTAGCGATGTCTTCAACGCAGGTATGTAGTAAACCAATCTTGTATCGCTCAACCTCTCTCTCTCTCTCTCTCTCTCTCTCTCTCTCTCTCTCTCTCTCTCTCTCTCTCTCT